TCACCAACATGAAGTTGGCCACATTTGTTGCATAAAGATGGAGAGTTCAACTGTGACCCTCCTGCATTCACCTGAGTCCTCGGCCCATGTGAAGTGTTCCCCCGGCTACCAATTGGGGGAGAGTAAGGTTTTTGTTCCTCTTGGAATACTTTGCCCTTCCCTTTTCCGTGCGAGAAATTTCGTTGGGGCCCAAAGTGTTTAGGAAGAATTACTTTAGGCGATGTCGCCTCATCGGCTGCCAGGTCATCCTCATACATCCTCATACTTTGTCCTTCTAGGAGATCAATTGTCCTTCCGCTTCCATTTGGCGCCGAGTAAATTCCCACCAGTTCTCGGCCTCCCTCACCAGTATATAAGTGGCATATGCCAACTTCTGAGCCTTTGAACAGTTCATGGCTCGGAAGATTCGCTCCTCTCCTTGGATCCACTCAATGGAAGCATCATGAACAAATCCCCCATGGAATTGACTGGGGTTCTTCTTGCAGAATTCATCTAGACCTCGGTATTCTGCCGGTCCGGGTGGAACTAGTGGTTGCAAACTCGGACTTGGTGCTGGATTCTGGTTCAGGTTATGCAATTTCTCATTGACTTGTTGCAAGGCCGCCACCATCTGAGCTAACAGATCGTTTAGAACACTCTGACTCGCTCCTCTTCCTCTTCCTCTTCCTCTTCCTGATATGGTACCTGTACTCACTCACTGGTCAGTAATCGAATTTTATCTAAACAAGGATCACAAAACCACTTAGAAATTAGTACAACTCAAACAATTTAAGCACATAAAGGAAACTAAAAAGCATGCAAGGCCATATCCTAGGCCGCAGGATTAACTATGCTCTGATAGCATATTGTAAGAACCCAAAAATCTACCCTTGAAATTTTTTCCTTATTTTACTCATTTTTAATGCAATTCCTATAACTTTTAAATACAACTTTCAATAACTTATTCTAAACCCCACTTGCCCGCTCATACTCATTTTATAAGTCCAAAAACAACATACACATTCGATTAGCAAAAAATCATAAGTCATTAATGCTTCCCGGTAACTACCGCATACAACTAGGTATGGGATTCCAAAATACCCATAGCTACAAATATCCAGAGTTAAAAATATTCATGTACAAAATACAATCAGTTATAATTCAAAACAATGAAGATAAGGACTTCAAAAAAACTAAAAGCCTCAAGCTCATAACCAAGACATCCTTAAATCTTCCACCTACCTGCAATGGGATTAACATTGACAATTCACAGAAAACACAAAGGAGTAAGTCGTTAACTCAATAAATGCCAATATACATTAATCCACATTTTAATACGATTAAGTAAACAATTCAGAGTTAAATATACTTAAAATCATTTCCATCGTTTATAGTTTTTGAAAACCATGCTACATAACTTCAGCCAAAGTTTGCTACATCGCTTGAGCCAAAGCATGCTACATCGCTTGAGCCAAAGCTTGCTACAGCGCATGAGCCAAAGCTTGCTACATTGCTTGAGCCAAAGCTTGCTACATCGCTTGAGCCAAAGCTTGCTACATCGCTTGAGCCAAAGCTTGCTACATCTCTTGAGCCAAAGTTTGCTACATTACTTGAGCCAAAGTTTGCTACATTACTTGATCCAAAGTTTGCTACATTACTTGAGCCAAAGTCGCTAACTAATCATGGTCGGTTAAAACAAGTTTTCTTTTCATTGATGCACCATCAACCCATAAACAGTAAATCCACGCAACCATTATTACAAACAAACCCATATATGTTTCTAATAAATAAGTGGTTCACAACTTGATCATTAACCACAACCAGAAAATCCACACATTTTCTATTGCAATGCATAAGTTAAAGACTTATCCTTACCTCGGTGAGTGTTGGGTTTGGTTCTTGGTAACTTCACAAGTTCCACCGACACCGCCTCAAACTTTAGGATCTTTCTTCATTCCCACCATGTAACACAATGTTAGTCATTTATTCCAAATAACACATAAATAACTCATATTGCATCTTTCAACATACAAGAGATTTAACACATTTTCAATGTTTCTAAACTACTTTCATTATAAGTTTACAAACACCTAAAACATACATATTTATCTCATATTTCAACATTAGAGTGCATACTCATCTTCTACATCTAACATTTTACCCATTTCCCTCTTTAACCACATTTTCATTTTAGAGTTTTGGGGTTTTCATGAATCAACCCACAAACCCTTTCCATTCTTGAAATACTAACTCAAAACCAAGAGTTTATAAGAGAAAAACAACATAAAACGAACCATAACTCAAAAGGATGAGTTTTCATGGTTTCTCACATTTTGAGAAGAGATCGACCATACCCAAAATGAGTTTCAAAGGGAAGTAGAGAGTTAGAATCAAGAGTTTTACCTCTTCTCAAGCTCTTAGATGATTCCCAAGACTCCTTGCTCTTGAAAACTCTTCCTTCCTTCATTTCTCTCTAGGTTATCCCCCAAAAATGTGTTTGGGGGTCCCTAATAAATGCAACAGTGTCGGGTTCACGCTCAAGCGTGAAAATCCCGCCCATTTTAAAAACTCATATCTGACCCTCTCGCTCAAGCGAGGGATTCTCGCTCAAGTGAGAATCTCATAGCCTCAACATGTTGTAAAATGCCATTTCTCGCCCAGGCGAGACAACTCTCGCTCAGGCGAGACCACTCTCGCTCAAGCGAGACAATTCTCGCTCAGGCGACAATCCTTCAGTATAGCCCTGGATTTCACCCTCCCAGGTGAGCCTCTCTCGCCTAGGCGACACTTTCTCGCTCAAGCGAGGCTCCCATGATTGATACTATAATTTTAATGAATTAAAAATCTAGGGTGTCACAACTTTTAATTATAACTTTCTAGGACCCCGACCCTAATGTGAATCTCGAGACACTATGTGCTCGCATAGAACTTTCCAAGACCCCGAGCCTGACGTGCTTTTAATTATACCTTTCCAGGACCCCGAGCCTGAAGTGCATTTAATCATTGCTTTCCAGGATCCCGAGCCTGAAGTGATTTTAATCATTGCTTTCTAGGAACTCGAGCCAGAAGTGCTTTTAATAAATCTTTCCAAGACCTCGAGCCTAATGTGAATTTCGAGTTCCAGTAGTAACAAATCTGCGTTCTCGCATATAACTTTCCAAGATCCCGAGCCTGATGTGAATCTCGAGCCGATGGGTGCTCGCATATAACTTTCCAAGTCCCCGAGCCTAAAGTGCTTTTAATTATACCTTTATAGGACCCCGAGCCTGAAGTGCTTGTAATCTTTGCTTTCTAGGGCCCCGAGCCTGAAGTGCTTTTCATCAACCTTTCCAAGACCCCGAGCCTGATGTGAATTTCGAGTTCCAGCAGTAATAGATCTCTATTCTCGCATATAACTTTCCAGGACCCCGAGCCTGATGTGAATCTCAAGCCATTGAGTGCTCGCATATAACTTTCCAAGACCCCGAGCCTGAAGTGCTTTTCATCAACCTTTCCAAGACCCCGAGCCTGATGTGAATTTCGAGTTCCAACAATAACAAATCTGCGTTCTCGCATATAACTTTCCAGGACCTCGAGCCTGAAGTGAATCTCGAGCCACTGAGTGCTCGTATATAACTTTCCAGGACCCCGAGTCTGACGTGCTTTTAATTATAACTTTCCAGGACCCTGAGCATGACGTGGTTTTTTAACTTTCCAGAACCCCGAGCCTGATGTGAATCTCGAGCCACTTAGAGCTCGCAAATTTATTTTACTGTCTCGAGCCACTAACAACTCGCAAATTTATTTTTCAGTCTCGAGCCAGTGAGAGCTCGCAAATTTATTTTCCTGTCTTGAGCCACTGAGAGCTCGCAAATTTATTTTACTATCTCGAGCCACTGAGAGCTTGCAAATTTATTTTACTATCTCGAGCCACTAAGAGGTCGCAAATTTATTTTTCTGTCTCGAGCCACTAAGAGCTCGCAATTTACTTTTATGTCTCGAGCCACTAAGAGCTCGCAATTTATTTTTCTATCTCGAGCCACTGAGAGCTCACAATTAATTTTTCTGTCTCGAGCCACTAAGTGCTCGCAAGTTTATTTTTCTGACTTGAGCCAGTGAGATCACAATTTATTTTTTCTGTCTTGAGTCACTGAGAGCTCGCAATTTATTTTAATGTCTCGAGCCACTAGGAGCTCGGAAATTTATTTTACTATCTCGAGCCACTGAGTGCTTGCAAATTTATTTTACTGTCTCGAGCTATTGAGAGCTTGCAAGTTTATTTTTCTGTATCGGGCCATTGAGAGTTCGCAAATTTATTTTGTTTTCTCGAGTCAGTGAGAGCTCGCTAATTTATTTTAATGTCTCGAGCCAGTGAGAGCTCGCAAATTTATTTTACTGTCTCGAGCCACTGTTAGCTCGCAAGTTTATTTTACTATCTCGAGCCACTGAAAGTTTGCAAATTTATTTTATTTGTCTTAAGCCACTGAGAGTTCGCAAATTAATTTTATTTGTCTCGAGCCTTTATGTCCATTGTCTAGGCCTTGACAAAATTCATGTTCATTTCTTTACTAGTTACTTACTACGGTAATATACAAACCTCAGTTTGTTTGCTACCAGTAAGTAACAAATAAAGAGGGGCAGTTGTTAACACTCAATTTTGTCTAACCTAATTGTGAAATCAAATAAAAATACAAGTTGCAAATATGAACATTGTAGATTGAGTTCTATCAACTTATATATCCCGTGACATTCAAATCCCAATTGATGGTTGCATTCTCATGTGACTTTGCCTATGTTAGTTGTAAAAAGATATTTGTTATTGATTCTATAGTACTTCTGCTACATCACTGAAACTACTTCTCAATTTCTTGTTTGGGCATCATACAATCATATGGAACAAATGAACTTGATATTATCGTCGGGTAAATTCCTGTCAAAACAGGTCAAAGAATGCAATAGACCATGGCCATAGATACATATCTTTCCATTTTGTTAGTTCCAATTCATCAGAACCTTCTTTAAATACAAGCATATAGAAATTCAATTACAAGATACTTCATCAAGTGCAGCAATGTGATCACTAACACAAAGTAGTCAGTCCATCTCTCTTCGCCAGATTTCTTTCTTTTCACGAGTTTCTCAATTAGAGCATGAGTTTATATCAATGTGTATAACAATGAAAGCATACCACACAAATTAGTAATAGCATTTGAGATGGCAATAGCAGTGCATACCCCTTTTCCACATCCTCACATGTCTTCACCAAGCAGTAATTTTGCAAATCTTTCCTTCATCATATCAATCTCTGTTCCAACAAATTTTCCCAGTAATTATTGGACAACAACCATATAAATATTCATTATTTAACCCACCAAAAGTGTGCTTTTTATTCAAATACATACATATTTCCAAAAGAGTCTTCTACATGTTCAGCAGAGAAGCCCACATTGGGCTATGAAAAGCACACAAACAATCAGAAAAGAAAAGGACGGGACAGACGTACATACATTTGGGGGCCTTTTGCAAAAGATAACATAACTTCTATCCCAAAGAGTTTTTATCCTCCCTATCTATCAATTACTCAAATACATACACATATCTAGATAAATTTCCCAAACCATAGCTTCCATCCAGATAATTCTTATCTTCCTACATACATACACAAAAAACAGAAAAGAAACCATATACACCCCTATTACCAACAAACAATCAGAAAATCAAAGAAGGGAAAGGAAAGCAAAACCACACACCGTCATCTTTCTCTATCCACCTCCTCAACCTCATTATCTCTCAATCACCACCAATAACCTAACTATCACCCCTTCATAGCATAACCACTACAAAAATACCTCATACACAAACGTATACAAACCAGAGATATACATACATTGGTATTTGTTATATACATATGCACAATTCCATACAATAGAGAGGGAAAGAAGGAGAAGGCCTTACCATGTCTCCCCTGTGAGCCGTGACTGTTAGCCTTGGTGCGCCGTCTTCCATGGTTGCTTCTTCTGCCGACATTAATGTTCTTCCATAATCGCTGCCGCTGGAATCAAAGGAGAAGAGAGGAAGATGGAAGTAAATAAATGGAGAACGGAATGTGAGTTTAGGGATTATTTCCCTTGCTGGATGTGAAATAAGGGGTATTACCCCTTTTGCCAAATTTATCCTTAAATGTTTTTAATTCTTTTTATTTATATATTTGCTTGTTTCATGATTTTGTATTAACCTTTGTGTTACAATTAATTAGTAGAGTTTATTTTCTATGAACTAATAAGCAATGATTATATGATTTTTACATCAACATGAAGATTAATGGAAATATATCCTTTAAAAATAATAAATCAACAAATTTTAATGGAATTTTTATAGTAAGATTACGATTCGAGTTGACTCTGACTTCTCCGAAAATGGGAAGAAGGTGAGCGATCAATACCGACTCCAAACTATTAATTCCATATCAAAAATGTTTTAAATAAAAATTACCTTATTACTTAAATGAATTTTAATGGAATTTTTATAGTAAGGTTACTGTTCGAGTTGACTCTGACTTCTCTGAAAATGGGAAGCAAATGAGCGACCAATACCGTATCTAAACTATTAATTCTGAAAGTGTGCATGTCAAGAGGAACACTTTGGAAAGCTCTCCTTATATGACTTGGTTTTGATGAGGACAACTTGTGCTAACATGAGCTTGAAGATCATCAACAAATCAACATGCTTAAGCCTTCCGATTGGTATCTTGCTTAGACTAGATTAGTTTAGGTTGAGTCCACTTAAGTCACCTAATACATATCTCAATTGCATAAATCTTTTAAATCTTTTTCATCTTGAGATATGTCATTCATAATATGTTCATGCATCATATAAATACATGTATATGTGCATTCTAGGCATAATCTAAGTATTAAACATGTATGAATTTAAGTGCATAACATATTTGAAGGTTTTACACATGAAACAGTGCTGTTAATCGATTACCACTTGGCTTAATCGATTAATCTAATTGTTTGCACAGTGTAATCGATTACAACAAATGTCAATCGATTAATCTAACATTTTTGTGAAGCTTAATCGATTAAAGCTATCGTTAATCGATTAACTGGGCTTTTATTTCAATTCTTTATAAACTGCATTTTCAGAATTGATCTCATAAGTTGCATGTTAAATTTTTAGAGAGTTAGAGCATATTTTCGTGTTAATTGTTGCATCTAGTTGTAAATGCATTTGTGAGCTTAGAAAAGAGAGAATTCTATGCTTTAGGATTGAGTGCTTTTCATGATACATTTCTCATCTTTTCTTGTCACATGTTCTTGCATTTTTACATGATTCTTGATTAGATGTTTACACATTATGCATTCTGTTTTTCACTAATACATTTTTCATATTGCATGAGCTTGTATTAGGTGATTAGAGTAAAGCCTTATCTTGTTAGATATAAGTTTTGTTATAGCTTAAATTTACTCTGTATTGTTTTGTTTGAAAAAGTGTTGTAATTGTGGGAATCTCAAGGTGTCATATCACCAAGAGATTGAGTGTGTCTTCACTGAGTGTTAGACTTAGGGATAAGTAAAGAACAAGGTTCTTGGCTGGGGCTACGCCGAAAGAAAGGTTTTCTTTGTCGGTAGGAAGGGAGTCAAACCATAGAATAGGTTTCTTTTTATCTTGTAAGTGTCTAATTGTTGTAATTGGATAGTGTGTATGTAATTAACATTCATTCAATTATAGTGAAGAAAAATCTCCCAAATCAGCCGGGAGGCCTGGATGTAGTTTGCGGTGGACAAGCAAACGAACTAGGATAAAATTCTTGTTGCAGGACTTTTTCTATCTCTATCTCTTTATTGCATTTGATCGATTATTTTGTCAAGTAGATTTAATTGATAATTAGTGTCTATACTGTTTTACTTGTACTCTGATAATATTCTGTAAGCCTGGTATAATCGTTTCATTATCAATTAATTGTCGAGCAAGAAACTGTACTTGCATTTGCTTTCTGTCTTGGTTTAATCGATTAAGTGTGGTGTGTTAATCGATTAAGTGGACTGTGTTGAAAGTGTTAATCGATTATCCTGTTCTGTTAATCGATTAATCAAGGTGTTTTTCAGCATTAAGTGTTGTTTTCGAAAAGCGGACACTCTAACCGCTACACCTATTCAACCCCCCCTTCTAGGTGTATTGTAATCACTGATACCTAACAAGTGGTATCAGAGCTAGTGCGAAGTGCTAGCTCAACCGCGTATTCGTGATCCTTAGGGAAAAACGAATGGGTTCGTCAAACCCATTTGGTGGTGATGGTTCATCCATTAATCGACCACCTATATTCAGTGGTGAAGGGTATGCCTACTAGAAAGTCCGCATGCAAATTTTCATTGAAGCCATAGACTCGGATATTTGGGAATCCGTAGTCAACGGCCCTTTCGTTCCACAACATCTTGTGGACAATGAACCTAAAGACAAGCCTAAAAGTCTATGGACCGATGATGAGCGCAAAAAGGTGCAGCATAATCTACGCGCCAAAAATATCATCACATCGGCCCTATCCTATGATGAGTTCTTTAGAGTATCGCAGTGCCAAAATGCAAAAGAAATGTGGGACACTTTACAAGTGACTCATGAAGGCACTAGCGAAGTCAAGCGCGCTAGATTAAATGCGCTTACCCATGAGTATGAGTTATTTCGCATGTTACCTAGCGAATCAATTTGTGATATGCAAAAGCGATTTACTCATATTGTTAATCATTTAGTTGCTCTAGATAAATCTTTTGCCAGAGGTGAACTAACTAATAAAGTTTTGCGTTGTCTTGACAGGAAATGGCAACCAAAAGTAACTGCAATTGTTGAATCCAAAGATTTGGACTCTATGCCTCTAGCTACTTTATTTGGAAAACTTCAAGAGCACGAAATGGAATTGGGGCGCTTGACTATGCACGAAGATTCAGATCGGAAAAAGAAAAACATCACATTAAAGGCCACGACCTCCAAATCAAAAGAAGATAAAGATGATGATGAATCTGACTCCGATCTAGATGATGAAACTATGAATCTCCTTGTTCGCAAATTTAGCAAATTCATCAAAAGAAAAGGAGGATTCAAGAAGTTTCAGAAGAAAGAAGCGAAAGAGTCAACCAACAAAGGCAAGAACAACAAAGATCGCTTCACTTGCCATGAGTGTGGAAAAGCCGGACATATGAGATTTCAATGTCCTACCTATCTGAAAAAGGTTGATTCAGAGAAGAGCACTCCCAGGGAATTCAAATCCAAGAAAGCTTACATTGTATGGGATGTACCTGAGGAGGAAACAACATCAAGCACTTCTAGTGAGGAGGAGTCAGCGAAGCTGTGTCTGATGGTCAGATCTGACAACAATGGCAACTCAGACTCACACGAGGATAATGATGAGGTATATTCCGACACCTCATCCACTTCGGATGACTTACCCTCTTATGAAGTTTTATATAATGCTTATGTTGAGCTACATGAGGAATTAAAAAAATTGGCTAGAGTTAATGTTGATCAGAAAAGGGAAATCCTTAGAAGTGAAAAGAAACTAAGCCAATTACAAAAAGAATTAGATGAATTAAAATTAGAAAATGAAACTTTAGATCTCATCTATTCTTGTAACACATGTGACTGCTCTGCTGATAATTTATGTCAAAAGCCTGTATGTGAGACTTGCGAGATTTTGCAAGAAGACAATCTTAAACTAAAAGAAAAACTCGAACGTCTCACAAACAATAAACAGCAATTAGACACTCTGCTCAGTCAAACAAGAAATGTTGGTGATCGTACTGGTCTAGGTTATACTCGCTCTGCTAAAAACAAGAGACCATATAGAAAACCTGTAGTTAATGCTAAGGATAAAAATCGTAGGCGCTCTCCTACTTGCTTTTATTGTAATACGTATGGTCATACTTCTTACTCTTGTTACATTAGAAAATATGGTATACCTAGCGGGGCTTATGTATGGATAAAGAAGGGAGATAATTCCCTAATTACTAACAGAAAAGGACCCAACATAATCTGGGTACCTGAGAAAAGCAGGTGATCTATTTTGCAGGTATGTCTTCGAACACAAGGACAAAAATGGTACTTAGACAGTGGATGTTCGAGACATATGACAGGTGACAGATCAAATTTCCTGGATCTATCACTTAAAGGAAAAGGATACGTCACGTACGGAGACAACAATAAGGGAAAGATACTTGGTACCGGAACAGTTGGTAACTCATCTCATACTCAAATTGAAAATGTTCTGTATGTTGAAGGACTAGAACATAATCTTCTAAGTATAAGTCAACTCTGTGACAAAGGTAATCGAGTATCTTTTGATTCTGACTGTTGCATCATTCGTGACATTTTATCTAATAATGTTAAATTTGTTGGTCATCGTATAAATAATATTTACATGGTTAACTTGGATGATGTCACCACATTATTTTCAAAATGTTTCATTTCTAAAGAAGATGACATCTGGCTCTGGCACAGACGCGTTGCACACATCCATATAAAACATCTAGATAAATTGTCATCAAACCAACTAGTTGAAGGGCTACCAAAACTAAATTTCAAAACTAAAGAGATTTGTGACACTTGTCAAAAGTGTAAACAAACCAAAAACTCTTTTAAAAACAAAAATGTGATATCCACTTCAAGACCTTTGGAGTTACTCCATATGGACTTGTTTGGACCATCACAAATCATGAGTTTTGGTGGTAGCTACTATGCTTTAGTTATTGTTGATGATTTCTCTCGTTTTACATGGACATTATTTTTATCTGCTAAAAGCGACGCTTTCAACTCTTTTAAAAATCTTGCCAAGCAAATCCAAAACCAACTTAACCTGAAAATAGTATATATACGAAGTGATCACGGGGGAGAATTTGAGAACTTTCAGTTCGACAAATTCTGTGATAAGCACGGCATTATGCATCAGTTCTCTGCTCCTCGCACTCCACAACAAAATGGAGTTGTTGAAAGGAAAAATCGTGTGCTAGAAGAATTAGCGAGAACCATGCTTAATGAAAGTAATACCCCTAAATATTTCTGGGCAGATGCAGTTCATACTGCATGCTATGTTATAAATCGAGTATTGTTAAGGCCTAATTTGAATAAAACTCCTTATGAACTATTAAAAGGCCGT